AGACTTCTGGAAATTAGATGATTAAGTAAACTAGAAGCATGTTTGATTCGAAAAAGATCGGTTGAGGCTGCATTTGCTAGTTCTGCAGGTTCTCGCGGCTACTCAAACTCCAGGGGAAGCAGGGAAAAGGTGGTTTCAGGGCACTGCAGATGCTGTGCGTCAGTTCCATTGGCTCTTTGAGGTATTACAGAAATAAGAGCAACCATGTTCTGTGAGATAACTCTCTTTTTAAGTGTTTGACGGGAGTTATTTAGCGAACAAAATTTGAGAACTATTTTGCACGTATAATATCATTTTTCAAACAATTTAGAGGATGCTTTCATGATGCAGGATCCAAGAAGTAAGGACATTGAAGATGTGTTGATTCTTTCCGGGGATCACCTGTACAGGATGGACTATATGGACTTTGTTCAAGTAAGGAACTCTACAGTTAAATCAAACAATGACCCCCCCCCCCCGGTTCTATGAAAACATTCGAAAGCTTGACAATTGGATTTCTTTTGGGATAATCTTCATTTCCAGAATCACCGGCAGAGCGGTGCAGACATAACTCTTTCTTGTTTGCCTATGGATGATAGGTAGGCCACTTTTCAAATATTGGATTGTTCGTAAGCTTATTTCAACATGTATGAACCCTCAAATATATAGCTGGGGATCATTATTGATTAACCTCCTCTTCATCATACTTGACTGGCAAATAAACATATCCTAGGATACCTAGGTCTAGTGTTTGCTACTACAGTAAATTTGGTCCTCTGATGTTATCTTTTTACTCTAATGAACTCTGTAATAGAGCTTGTTCTATTCATCTCCAACTTCCATGATTATCAAAATACATATATTTGAAATTCTACTGTGCATTCATGGTAGCCGCGCCTCAGACTTCGGTCTAATGAAGATAGACAACAAAGGAAGGATCCTTTCATTCAGTGAAAAGCCCAAGGGGGAAGACTTGAAAGCAATGGTAAACCTCACGTCTATCATACCGCTAATACAAGTTTCATAGATTTAGGACGCTAATGCTGCTCATATTTCAGCAAGTAGATACAACAGTGCTGGGCCTTTCAAGGGAGGAGGCTCAAAAGAAACCATATATTGCTTCCATGGGAGTGTACGTTTTCAGGAAGGAGATACTTCTTAACCTATTAAGGTGCTGATAACTATCTATTGAACTATTACCTCAAAGTACAGAAATATACAAACAACAGAACTTGATTCCCCATCATAGACCTAATTGTTTTGCTATGCGCTATAAATATACGTCATCCAGGTGGCGTTTCCCAACTGCAAATGACTTTGGATCAGAGGTCATTCCTGCCTCGGCCAGAGAATTCTACATGAAGGTCTGACTAATTATTTCAGAACACTGATGTATAAGTCTACACGCTTGTCTAAGATATTTTTTCATACTTATGGCTCCACTGTAATGCTCAGTACACCTGACAAGAGGGGAATTTTTTTTTTTTTTTTAAAAAGAACGTTGCAAATCAAATTTTTGGAGAGATCACATGAAAAATTATTCCACTTCATATTTTGGTTCAAGCAGAGTGGAAAAGAAAGTGGACACTTACCCCGGGATCCATCTAAAAGTTTACTGTCACATATTACAACTATTTACTAATATAACGAAAATTACGCATGCAGGCTTATCTCTTCAATGATTACTGGGCAGATATAGGAACCATCAGATCCTTCTTTGAGGCAAATCTAGCCCTCACCGAACATGTGAGCGTCAAATATACCAGTCAATGCCTCTTTTCTTGATCTTCAGCATCATGTATATAAATTTTTCGCTGAGGAGAAATTGTCGAGGATGATCATAGTCTGAACAAACATATGAAATCAACTTACTTGCATACTTAAAATTATCTAATTTTTTCACAGATATGAATGAAATGATTGAGACCTGAGTTGTCAAAACTAATCTGCTCACTTAATCGAGCTAAAATAGTGGACTGGATTGCAATAATTATTACGTAGTTTCTTAACTAATTTATTCTCGCTCAATCACTAATATAGTTCAATGCAGCCTCCCAGGTTTAGCTTTTATGACGCAGCAAAACCAATGTATACATCAAGGAGGAACTTACCACCTTCAAAGATTGACAACTGCAAGGTTAGTTTCTCTACCTTTGAACTTGCTCTTGGCGAATTATGAAAAGGAACCAACGCCAAGAAGCAATATGCAGCATACCCTAAATCTCTTGCTTCATAGTATTCTCAGGATTTGGTGGGTTCTTTGACGAGCCAAGGGATAAAAAGCAGAAAGGTCCAATGGGGAAGTGGGGAAGAAGAAAAAGAAACGTGAGAGTTTTCTCCTCGCCCACCAAACCATCAATAACCTTTGACCCTAATTGAAAAATTAAGATCAATATATAGGATCAAAATGTGAACGATATTAATGATGTATAGAGAGCTTTTTCATATATACATGCCCCTGGAAACATATTAATAGTAATCTATTCAAAAGTAGGAGGTCCAGATTCTTCAGCTCGTTCGGAGTGTGTTTTAACACCCTCCTACCGGGGAAAAGTTTGCTTTCAACTTCGAAGGTGCTATCAAAACTGTTATTGTCCTTGTGCAGATTGCTGATTCAATAATATCGCATGGAAGCTTCTTGACCAATTCCTCGATAGAACACAGTGTAGTTGGAATCAGATCCAGAATAAACTCGAACGTTCATTTGAAGGTTTCGTATCTCAGTTTCCAGTTTTAACAGCTGTGCGCAGATATCTGATTATTCTCCAGTTGCTTACATTATGGGCATGAATTAATCATTCTGGGGTTTGTTGTTGAGTGAAATTCTGATAAGTTCTTTGTGCAAGTTTATAATAACCTGCTTATTTGTCAGGTGCGCTCATTTAGCTCTATTGTATCATTATTGTAAGCAGGATACAGTGATGCTTGGTGCTGATTTCTATGAAACGGACTCTGAAATAGCAGCACTGTTGGCGGAGGGAAGAGTACCTATTGGAATAGGAGAAAATACAACGATCAAGTACAATCTACAACTTGGCATTTTTCTATGTTCTAACCATTTTTCTTTTACTGTTCTTTCTCATCGCTCATCTCCCGTATCTACAGAGACTGCATTATTGACAAAAACGCCAGAATCGGAAAGAATGTTATCATAGCGAACTCAGAGGTATATTTTTTCCGATCATCATTCTTGGGAAGTAGACGAGAGCTGGTTATGCCATGCTAACTAAATTACACCCACCTTCGCCGAAATCACTTTAGCATAACTAATACACATAGTCTAACTATGGCCGACCATCCATAAAGATAAAGATTGTTGGAAGGCAAAACAGAACTAAACTGGTGTGTTTAATTCAGGAGTAAAGTGGATGAATTTTCAAAGAAGAAAAATACTTGACGCTTGGAGGTCATGTGACTTCAACAGAACTTTCAACAACTAATAAGAGAAATGGTGATTATTAACGGTCACTTTTGCACTAAAATTTCTGGGTTTATATGAACTGCAGGGCATACAGGAGGCTGACAGATCTTCAGAAGGGTTCTACATTCGGTCCGGAGTGACCGTTATATTCAAGAACTCAGTAATCGAAGATGGATTCGTAATATAATAATTTCCTCCGTCCTTTTATCTATTTTGACATGGATTAGGTTGAGAATCGAGAAAAAATAAATATTGAAATTGAGTCAGTACTTTTATTTTTTGTTACCATAAATCAATGGTCAATTTTCAGAAAATATCCAATGAAATTAAGGGTGTGTTTGGTTGGAGGGGAGGGGAGGGAAAATGAGCCCCTCCCCTCATTTGGTTAAAAATTTTGGGGGAGCTAAAATGTTCCCTCCCCTCCCCTCCCTCATTTTGGCTCCCCTCCAAATTGGGGGTTTTTGGAGGGGAGCCAAAATTTTAGACCATTATGCCCTTATGGTTTTTTTAATATTTCATTTCTACCCATAAAATATATTATTATAATATTTATTTCAAATAAAAAATATATTATCCTAAGTAAAAAAAATAAAAAATATATACATTATTATAATTAAAAATATATTATAAAAATTATTTAAATAAAAAATTATAATATATAAAATTAATTGTTTTTTATAAATATATTATTTATTAAATATATTTTAAAGCTGGAAAAAAAGATAGCCTAAAGAAAATAAAATTTCATTTTTCTTAGAGCATATAAAATTTATTAATTTGATTATTTTAAATATATTATTATATTAATTAGAATAAAAAATTACTATACCAATTTTTTAATACACATATTAACATGATAAGACTGAATTTTTATTAAATTATATAATTTAAATTAAGATGTAAATTAATTTATATAATATATCAATAAAAAACATAAACTAATATGTAAGGGTAAAATGGTAAATTGATTATTACTATCCCTCCCCTCCCCTCCTTGAACCAAACAAGGGATCATTAAATACCCTCCCCTCCCCTCCCCTCCTTTTTAATCAAACCAAACAAGGTGAGGATAAAACCTCCCCTCCCCTTTCCTACCCCTCCCCCCCTCCCTCCCCTTCCCTCCCCTCAAACCAAACACACCCTAAGTTTCACACTGAAAGGGCCAAGATGTCAGGTGAATGAGAAGTGACATGGTTGTATTTCGCAATTAAAGTAATACTATATACCAATGGAGGTTACAAAAACAAGAGTTTTTCTCCATTTCTTAATTTCCAATTAACAAACCTCATGCAAGAAATTTTAGGTATTAAATAGGTGCAGTAGATTAGTGATGAGCTGCAACGTGAATGTTACTCAATGCTCTATCCCATAATGAAAGATATTTCTTTACCAGAATAATTAAAGATATAACCCACGCCAATTAGTAGTTTCAAAATATAACCACATAGATAATAAATGATTGGTTGAGATGATATTTAGCAAAGTTCTGTTTGGCACTCGGATCATTTGCGAAGATTATCCTCTAATCCCTAACCAGGTCCCAAAAAAAAAAAAAAAAGAAGATGGAAATACAATACTAGGTCTCATCCAAATTCGCAAAAGATCACAACATTTCTAAAATATAACATTATGATAGGGAAATCAATTTTTTTGATCCAAACAATGTTCTACAAATGTAAACATAATGAATAACCTGAAAGTTGGAAGGATAACTCAGACTAATCATAAAGCCAATTTGAGGCAGAATATGCCATCTAATCAATACGCGTGGAAGTTAAGATATGGATTATAAAGTAAGCTCTTCACAATTGAACATTAACTCATTTTCATACTTCTGGAGAACAAACCGCTCCTCTGGAACTATGATAGTGGTAACAGTACATTTCATGTCAGAAAAAGGTTTCCTACAAGTCCTACCTGCCCGATGAAGATAATCTATGGCAGTCTTGGGCAGATCAAAGTTGTAAATGTGGGACATTTCCGGAAGGTCAACTCCTCTTGAAGCTATATCTGTTGCTACAAGAAGATAGCCGCCACCTTTCCTTGCCTCCTGCATCAAAGATGGCAAATATGGAGCCATGCTTAGCATGAGCAAGGACCAGCAGTTCTAATTTGGTTTTCAAATGGGAACAGCTTTTTCATCTTAGCCTCATATACCAATTCCCAAGCAAAGAATGGCACTTACCAACAGTGAAACTGCCCGTGAATTGAAATTCATATCTTCCTCAAGGAGGAGGATATCTAAAGAACCTTGGTATGAAGTCTTCAGAAAGTCAACCAGAAGGGACGTTGATGGAGCATTTCCTGCCTGTTTTGACCTCTTAGACTGCATAAATAAGAATCTGATATTCAGACTACAAAGAACTTTCAGCATATTCACATAGATTGGATCAAAAGACAGTAGATGCAGACATATTGGATGATTATTTGAAGGTACAAGAAACCAAGTTCAATAATACTAGCATAAGACATCTAAAATCTTTGATTCTACCTAGTTTCCCAAGCACCTGATTAGCATGGACTTCGAATAGCACTGAAAAAATAGCATTGAGTAATAATTATTCAAGACCAGACTGCATTATTGTATCAGCGGATATTGATGATGGAATTCACAGCAGTTTTTTCTTTAAAGATGCATTCCAAAAACTGCACAGGAAAATTACTTAAATAATAATCATGTAAAGAAAAGAAGAGGATACTAAAGAAGATATTTTCTCAGACCTGCTCACTGGCAAATATAATGCCAGACTCAGGTGCATCAGATTGTATCAAAGATAACAGGGTTTGTTGCTTCTTGTTCCTATGACATACCTGTTGATTGAAACAGCAATATAAATTGACAACAGCCCAAATACACAATAGGCTTTTAAGAAATAAGTAACCTACAGAAAAGATGTGATTGAGTATAGATAATTGTAGCAGGCAGATAGGCCAACAATGTACAAGAAAGAATAACAAAATTGCTATGATACTTAAGATCTCTTACTACAAATCTATGATGCAGGCGTGATGGCATGGGCTCAACTGGGCTGACATGAATATGGACCACATCACTCTAGAAAATAAATATGGAGACAAAGACCATTAGGAAATCAGTGGTGTGCTTAGGGTAACTCAAAGAAAAACATAAATAGCTTCATCAGCTGACCTTAGTCCATTTCTGCTGCACACAATCATGAAGAAATCGCCTGTGTTGTGGTATAGACGCACTGGCAAAAACCGTTTGACGGTTATTGCATGACGAATACAGAGTTAAAAGTTTTCGAAGGGAACTGACTTGCTTTGAAGAATTGAAAATAAAGTCAACCTAAGAGAACAAAAACACAAAGCTTCAGTTTTCAAAATTATAAGCATTGATAATAATCTATTACCTAGAAGCATAAAGGGCAGCGAAACAAGTTTCAATGATCAAAATACTTTACCTCATCCACTACTAACACCCGCACAGTTTCTAGCTTTAAAAATTGTCTTTCAATTATATGGCATAAACTCCCCACTGTTGCGACTACTATCATTGGAGGCTCTGCCTAAAATTTGAAAGATTAGATGAAGGAGACTTGATGAGCAGAAAAGAGGTACTTATTGCAACAGTTCAAATCCATTTCATGGATATTTGCAAATCTTTTAGGAGTTTATTTCTTGGGCTAAGCAGTCAATAAAGTCAACATAACATCCAAAGGAGCATAATTATCCTGTTTTACAGTTAGGCCAAGAACTGACCTAATCCCAACAAAAGGATTTTTCCCCCATTCCAACATTCGCAACCTCAGGTCAAGCGGACAAAATAGGTCCTTCAAAATCCTGGATCTTCTAGACGTCTAATGAACAATCTAAATAATCTAAAATCAATTAATTTGTTTGATTATTGTCTAAGATTGCATAAATTGGATCAGAGGAAACAACAATTTGAACAAACTTGATCAAAGGCCAAGCAAAAATCATCAGACTCAACTGAAAAGGTAAAAGTTCCTTCACAGTCACAAAAAAAATAGAGAAATGAATCCAGCAGTCTTCTACAGACATTGAATGGCCCGCAACAACTACTTACACCAAATCGGTCTCTGTTTTCCTTTTTTTTTAAATTCACTGAATAAAGCTCGTAAAAGTAAAAGATGTCTTGGACAGTAAATTACGACAGTAGTACCTTTAGCCAACTCTTGTGTCTTCTCAATGTTCCTCCATCTAAAAGAGCCATGACGGTATATGACTTGTGCTCCTTCTCAACCTCTGTCGGACTTGCTGCCAACATCCTAGCAACTTTAGCAACCTTGTCGTCAAAAAATCAATTTTAGCATTAGCCATTTCCAAGGGAATCGCCTCTGGTACATTGCATTGAATATAATTAGCATGTAACTATGCAATCACAACATCATTGGCATTATTACTTGCATGCCAAGTTCACGGGTGGGCACCACAACAAGAGCTTGCACGGCAGATTTTGCAGCGTCTATGACGGAATATATCAGAAGCACGTATGCGAGCGTCTTCCCAGAACCTGTCTACAGAAGAAATAATACGAGATTACATCAGTAGGCAATGTTTGCCGTTTCACTAGAATAAAACCAAATCCGAGAAGCAAATTAACCTGAGCATGAAGTATGCAATCGCGACCAGATAAAAGAGAAGGCAATGCTTGTCTCTGGACATCTGTAGGCATGACATATCCAATCTCTTCCATCCTGAAACATATTACAGTACCCAAATCATCTCCTTTAGTCAAAATACAATCAATAGTTCCCCCAAGAAAACCAAAAATAATAAAAAGATCACCAGAGTCGTCAAAACCCACGTTTTATTTTTGGCCTCACAGATGATATACATATTTAAATAATCAACATTGGAAAGAAAGAAACTCGTCATCACATCCACTCACAACACAACATGCATAAAGAGAGAGGGCAATTCTGAAAAGCAAGAGGGAAAAGGAAAAGTTCAGAGATTGCCTGTCTAATATATGCCGGGGAACATGGGCTTCGCATATTTCTCTTAACGCATGAGAACCAATTTTATCAACTGCTCCGGGGGCCAAGGAAGACGTATTTAAAAGGGATTGTGGAGTTCTGAACTTGGAGATAAAGCGGAGACCAGGGTTGACGTGATACGTGGAAAAGAAAAAATTGAAGGTATGATTTTGTGAGTGAGAAAGAAAACAAGTAGGAGTTGGCTTCTCAAAGGAAATGGGAAGAAGCTGTGCAGGCGAGAAGGCATCCATGGAACCTCAGTTGCATAAAGAAAGGCAGGCTACTGATTAGCAAGAGGAGAAGCAAATAGCAGTGTGGAAGAAAGAAGTCCGAGTGAGACTACGAATTTCGATAGAACGTAATCAATAGGGCTCTTTCAGAGCTCCTTTTCCCGGCATGGCACCTCGGTTGCAAAGCGCAAAGTGACAGTAGATTGAAATGAAGATGGCGATCGTCTCCAGTCACAAAGTAACTGTTCCTGAGTAAAACGATGCGTTGCATTGTCCAGATTTAAAACGGTGCGGCGTGAGATTAAGCACAGAAATCTATATCTATATCATCTATAAAAAGTTCGACCAAAAAGAAAAAAAATGGCTCAAATATTGCCATCAAATAAGTGGCTTATTCCATAGAATATATCTGATTCACGCCGGTTTTCCATTTTTTGGTCAAAATCGGACTCATACTAGGTACTAGGTAGAATGATTTCCGTGTTGTAACTTGTATTTCCAGCGTCTCCTTGAGAAAATTAAATTCAATATCTTTGTATATCGAGCTAGATGTTAAAATATTTTCATTGATGAACAGAAAAACGCAGCCACTTGCGTGGTTCGGCAGTCACCGGTCAGTTGGCGGTGAACAGAGGAAGCTTGCTGATGCGATGACAAGAGGGGCTTCAAGTTGAACGGTGGAGATAGTCGTGATTACTGATCTTAGTCAGCCTCCAACTCTAACAAGAGAAATCACAACTCATCCTTTTATTGCGTTTCGAGAATCTAAGAATATTTCAAAACGCCATTGTCGCATATACTGGGGGATAATTTAAGGTGTCTTGTTGCGCTATAAGAGCTTGGAAAAAGAGGTGAACTTTGTGTACACTGTCAAAGAAGACTCTGTTTTATTTTGGAGGGGCGGTAAGTATGATGAGGTAACTTGTTTCCCCGGACTAATGAGACTGCCAAAACCTTTTTCTGGTTCCAGTTGCATCCCATGTAATTTTAGGTGGCATTGTCGTCAAACACAAACATGATTTCGGTTTTGGCCGCAAGCAATTGATTAATGGGGCAATTTGAAAGTTTTGATTATCTTCCTGTGAATGGGAAAGTTTGATTCTTTGCCTCTGGTTCTTGCTTCCCCTTGAAACAATTATTGCTGACGAAAAACACTATGCTTCACACCAATTCTGAAGCAGAACTAATCAGCTACCAATAAAAACACAGCTTTAACTCACATCGCAATTACAAACAATCTGCTATAACCAAAAAAAAAAAAATCTCAATTTCTTGATATTCCTCTAAGAAGCTTAAAGCCTTAAACCAATTTTGAAGCGCTCTGCATAAAACATGGTATTAAAGAAAGAGAGCAATTTTCCATTCAAACAAACAATGCTCTCCAAGGCAGGGGCATAAGGAGTTAGGTGGTCTGAAATGCTTGTGAATGACGACTGACGAGAGCTGAGAAGCGGCCATGATTGGTACTTCGATATGAAGAAATAGGTTTGAGAGTGAGGTAATAATTGAGCCATTGAGGTGTTGAGAATTACAGGTACATATTTATCTGCTAATGGGTGTGTATGCTGGGAGAATAACGTAAAGAGAAGCATGTGTCATGTGTGATGGAATACCGAAGAAAGGTTACAGGATAAAGGGAGTGCTGTGAAGGATCCACCGCACCAATTTTGTTTCTTATTCAGAGATTGGAACCCAAAAACTTTTTTTTTTTTTTCTGGGGACAAGAGCACCGAAAGTCCTCTTCATCCCATCGTGCCCTACCAAACGCGCCTCCGTCAATAATACCTCTCTTGCTCTGACGCTTGACTTGTTCCAAGACTTTGGGCCTTTCGTTTTTCCATTTACTGTGACTTATGTATATTTGTATTTGTACGTATAATGAATAGAATATACAGTTATTTTAATGAGATTCATTTAAAATTTATTACGAGATAGTATTTTCAGATTCATTATTTTAACCATAAATAAATAAATATAATAAGGTTGATTTCATCAAAGCGTGTGAACCGGATTGTTCCTGCGTTTTCTGCCCGCTTCCCTTTCCTCTCGTCTTTGTACCATTCTTTACTTTGACCTATTACTTTCTCTCCTCTACTCTTTTAGGGCTCTTTTCTGCTTGGCCTCCTTCCTCCTCCTCTCCTTCATCTCAAGTCTCCTTCTTTGTGTTTGCGATCAATGGATAATTTCACCTCTTCTTCTTCTTCTCTTCCTCCTCCTCCTACACCCATGCCCGACATTCTGCCCGCATCGGCTTCATCCTCTTCTGCAGCTTTCGACGACGGTTCCGAGGACTTCTGCAGTATTTGTCTTGAGCCCTTCAGCACCGATGACCCTGCTACTGTATGATCTGAGCCCTCTTTTTTATTAATTGACTCCACTTCTTCTCTGTTTAGTGTATGCATTTGGGATCGTGTAGAGTTATACACTCTGAGGAGAGACCGTAGTGTATTCCCACGGACTTATTTGTTGAATCGTTTTGGGTATTCGCTTGCTTCGGAAGCACGATCAGTCTAGAATCGAGTCATAATTTTGCCGCATTTTATTCTTTCGTGGGCATGAGTTTTTCGTTGTCACATTGTTCTAATCTTATTTCTCCTACGATGTTGAAGGATGTCCGGCTTTGAAATTCTGTTCAGTGCTCTGTTTCTTAATTCAAGCGATTGATGTGCTTCAGAATTTTGATATGTCTCTGCCTTGATCCTCGTTTTGTGAATTTAGGGTCATTTTGTTGTTGAGGAGTTAGGAACTCAATGAAAAATGTACTGTTTTAGTATATTATCTTTTGAAGATATCTGTATGGATCAGTGTGTGTCAGTCTTCACTGATACAAACCCTGGGGAACTTTTGCCTTGCTGTGGTAGTTATTTAAGCAGAATGAGGAATGATTCATATCGAAGCAAGCCAAAAAAATATATAATGCATGTGCTTCCTTCTGAGTATACGCATGCTTGCTGAAGAAATTTAAATATTTATTCCATATTTTAAACCAATTAATATAACATGTAGATCTAGATCTGTTAGTGGATTCAGATTGTGGAATCATGCTACCATGAACAGGAAACTATATGCTTTGAAGCAACCAGAAATAGGTGAACTGCCCATGTGATTTCTTGCAATTATATGCATATTTGCAGAAGACAGTTGTGTTGTTCTTTTTTGTTGCACCACTTAAACTCGACATCTAATCATGATGGTTATATGAGAATTCAGACTGAATTACTTGAGGCAAATAAGTTATTCACGTTAATCAGGTTCCTATCTGTATTCATGTGTAAATTTTGATGGCTATTTGGCTGGTGCTGTTAAATAAGCTGTGCTTCATGCATGGATAAATTACATTCGGTTGATTTTCAAAAGAAATTTTGAAATGGAGAAAATTTAGGTGCAGTTGAAAGGTATTTGAGAAGTTGAATTTTCACAGTGGGGCATTACATGATTGAACCTTTTAATAAACTTCCTCTGCTATTCCCATGTCATGGATTTCTTGGAAAACCCCATGGCTATCACTTAAGGAACTTTACCCTAGTCTGATCTATTTGCAATCTAGAAATGAATGTCTTGCTTATAAATGCTCAACAATTATTGACACACCTCCTTTAAATTTTCAGATAACAAATTGCAAACATGAATATCATCTGCACTGTATTCTTGAATGGTAAGGCTGACTGCTCTGTAGGGAGATCATGTTTGTTATCAATATAATAAACTGGATCTATGCTTTTCACTCACATAGACAATAATATAATAGGCTGCTTCTAACATTGTACTTTTTTATCTTTAGGTCTCAGAGAAGCAAGGAGTGCCCAATCTGTTGGCAGATACTTGTCTTGAAGGACCCTGCCAAGTATATATTCTCTTGGAAAATTTGTCTCTTTCTTGTATGTCTTGTGTTGTTATGGTTTTTTTATTTTCCTTAATCACCAACCTTGCAGCCAAGAACTTCTAGCTGCGGTGGAAGCTGAAAAACGCATAAGGTCAAGAGGCTCATATTCATCTGCATTCCCACATCCTCGTACCCCCATTGAACGGTTTAATGTGGAACAGGTGAGCAATATTTCCAAGTGTTATGAATCTGTTTTCTAATTCAATATCTATTTGTATTTATTCATGTAATGCAGCGTCAGTTTATGAAACAGTATCAGTCTATTTGACAAGGCTCAATATACTACTGCAGGATGATTCTTGTTCCGATGACTCCGATTTTGATGAACAAATTATGCAGCACCTAGTTGCTGCTGCAAGTAGAGCCCATTATTTTCGTAGAAGGGATGTGCAAAGATCATCTGGAGTAGGTCCATCTAGGATTCCTGTAGTTGAATCTTCATTGCATGTCTCTGGGCTGCAACCAGTGCATACAACTTCACCTTCTGGAGATAGTTCACCTAGTTCCACTTCTGCTGCTGGCATTCAACCTCCACCGCCTGCCCCTTCTTCTGTTGAAGCAATTCCAGGAAATTCCACTCCTGATACCCATGACCCTTTCAAAGCCAGGTACTGGTTGCATCAAACTTTGAATATGAATTATAAAGCAGTGACATAAGTTCTTTATCAGGAGGTTTATGGCATGCCCTAGAGCATTCGACCATCGATCATTCTTATGTTTACTATCTCTTGGGTTGTATCCAGAGTTCTTTATAGCCAGCCACCATCCGAGAGTGTGAGAAGACTGAACACTTCTGAGATGTTTACTTTCCCTGAGTCCATCAAGACCAAATTTTCTGCTGCTTCAGCTAGGTAAACAAATTTATACATTTAATCCCAGATGCTCCTATGATTATCCCACTGATAAATGTTTTTTATAATAAAATCTTGAACCAGATATAAAGAATCTATTTCAAAAGGTACACGTGGTCTTAAAGAGAAGTTACTTGCTCATAATGCCTCAGTGAAAGAGCTGAGTAAAGGTGTTCAGCGTGAGATGAATGCTGGCATCGCTGGTGTTGCACGGATGATTGAACGCCTTGATCTCGGCTCAAAACAGGCTACTGCTTCTCCTTCCATGCCCAGCTCTACCGAGGGAACTTCTGGCTTCCCCTCTAAAGGAAAGACTGTCCAAGAAAATGGTAGTGGACAGTCTCTTCACTCTGCCGTTGAGGAAGAGAGTGGAGTAGTCATTCATGATGTTAGATCAGGTCCACCTGCACAGGTTTCCAGTGCCACAGTTAGTCCAGTAGGGTACCCTCATCCACATGTTCAGGTTGATCCATCCATCTAATTCCCTGCTTTCAATCATTTTGAAAATTATTTTATTTCTTGAAAGCTGGCTGATTCTTTCCGTGTTGGTAATTTTTAACGTCCAGAGTGGGTGTGATGCGGTGAAGACTTAGCTTGGCTGGTATGTCGTCTCACTTGTCCAAGAAGAAGCATGCAGTGCAAGTGATGACCTTGTAAACCAATCTACCCGTTGGTATATGCATCCGGCATTGTTGTTACTGGCCCATGAAGTTTAAGAATTATAAACAATGTGCTGAGCCAGAGCTTTCACCTCGAGGGAGATTATTTAATGAACTTATCACTATAGTATAGACATGCATGGATGGTTATCCATACTCGGCCTTTGTTTATAGTTTCTTCTACGTGCTAGTATATCGCTCATTGCGGTCAAATAATACTGAGGTTGTCTGCTTTCTCCACTTTAATCTACGAATCTAGCAACTTATTGAGAGGAATATGATTGTGCCATTTGGTAAAATCTTCTAAGGATTGAAAGCAACCTGAAATTGTTTTCTTGCTCTATTAACGGAATTAACCGTCGGTTAAAGAAGGAACATGCAAATTAGATTTGTTAGCAGATTATAGTCGTGTCTCATTTTCGTCATTGTTGCTGAAGAGCTTCTAATCAATATATTCTGGTTTGATTCCCTTTAAAAATGTGAAGCATTGGTATTCATTGCCCCTTTAGCATAAAGCAGCTTGTTCTTGAAGAAATTTAATGATGAGCACAGTATAATGAAGATAAGCAGATTAAACTCATAATGAACAAGCATGTGGATATGTACATGCTTTAAACTTCCAATGAAATATGTGGGATCAATTTCCCTTGTCCAGAGGTGACACTTAGGGTATGTTTAGATTAGTGTTGTGTAAAACTGACTTCTAACTCAACTGACTTTTATAATTAAAGTTAGAGTAAAAGTCAGTCAGTTAGGGTATATTTGGATAAGTGTTTTTAAAAAATCAATTGAAAAAGTTAAAAGTTGTTTAGATGATTAATAAAAAAGTTAGCTTTGTTGTAAAATGACTGAAAACGGTACGGATTTTACTGAATAGTAGTGTTTGAAATTTTTTGTTTAATGTGATAATAGTTTAGAAAATACGTAAAATTATTATGATAAAATATAAATAGTTTATTTGTGAAATTATAAAATAAAAATATTTGTTATGAAGAAAAATTTGAAAACACATTGTAGATAATTAATTAAATATACACAATAGACAAACATGAATATAAATTAAAATTCATTTGGTCTGAATAAAAGCTTATTATGCTAACAAAGGAGATAAGGTAGAGGGAAAAATATAAAGGTAAATCTGGGATGCTCATTTTTAATAATCACCGTTTGAAACTGCAGTTTGAAAAGTCAGATTTTTCTCCGTTGAGTCTAACTGAGATTGAAAGCCAGAAGTTAGCTGAAAAAGTTAGCCCAGTCAAACAACAGTTTTTATCCAACTTAGTTTACAACCCAGTTTCACAGATTTCAAAACACAACTGCAATTCCAAACTGCAATCCAAACATGCTCTTAATCCAATCAATGGTGGTGTCCATTGGCTGGCGGTGTCCGGGACCCTATAAGATGAAGATGGTTCACATGGCTTATTGCAAGCTGTGTTAAAATGAACTTGAAAAGTCCCCTTTTTTCCCCACCAAAAAAATGCCCCTTCAAGATAAATATGATGTGATGCAGGATAGTGATTCGACATTGCATTTGAAATGGGATGCGAATGAGATATGGTGTGTATTTTCAAAATTAGTTTTTTTTTTTTGTGCAATCAAATGACATGGAAGCAAAAATATTTCAAGGCAATAAAGAATTTGGGTACATATATTAAAAAAACAGTATTTCACAATTTTATTTTCCTGCTGAGATGTTCGAAATGGATGTCGTGGTATCAAACTATATTAATCCCTAGCTGCTTCTTTCCCATCAACCAACATTGATTGAATCGTTAAGAAAATGAGATAACGATGTTTCCCATAACGAGAGATTGTCGGCGTCAGCCTCAAAAACAAATCTCCTGTAGGATTACACCAAAATAGGAAAGAGAAAATTTACAATAGAATAATAAAAAAAGAGGGACGACATGAAAAATATAAGTAATTAATTAATCTGTTTATAAGACAACGCAAATACGAATAATAAACATGAAATGGCAACTATTATAGGACATTATTAAACACCAAATCTTAGTATTGCTCCGAGTAGTTTTAGAAGGAATATAATCAAGTGAACAACACCAGATTATAAATCTATTTTTTTATGTCCTATGTGTTGTCGTGCAAGTTTTTCATATTTACAACACTTCACAATTTGATATAATGAGCAGCACTCACTACGGTGAAAATAAAAAATGAAAATTTGTACGGTTGGGGTAAAAGTGAAACCAGAATAATTGACAATTCAATTATTAAGATAAGTTATGCTTGCAAATTGTAAACTTTTAATCATATTCATACTTTTGCCAACGATGCTTAGCAGAGTCTGCTGCATGAATGCATGGGCAAAAAAATAGTTTCTAATCACTCTTTCTTTCTGGTTGTCTTGCACGAAAGCAAATTGAAGTTTCACTTTGTTTTTTTTTTAATCATAACTGAAGGTTTGCAGTTACTACTTTTAATTGATCACGACTTGCAAGCGAATAAAATATCCTTTTCGTAATTTGCAGCCTTTTATAGAAGAGAACATATTTTTGCTTCCATGTTCAAACACAAGCCTGACAATATGGCAGAAGGCAAAACGAGGGTATTTGCAAGTTGTTAAGGAATAGTATGATTAATATTATTGAGTAATCAAGGACAAGCTTATCAATGAAACAATAACCTAGAGACATACATGCAGTCAAACTGCAAAACACCCATACTTGTCCACATGTTGGAAAGGCACAAAACCTTGGATGAACCTTCCTCCATGAATACACTCGGCAGCAGAGTACATATAATAAAGGCTTTCCCATGTACATAATCGGTAGAAACCTATATATATTTTTATCAATCACCGAGACAATATAATAATTTATTGCCTAAAGACTAAAGAATCAGACCCACGATAAATAATCCACTAAGCTTGGCAAAGGAATATAAAATCATTAGGATTTATCAAACTGTTCTGTTTGTTTGGGGAGACAGATCTGTCCGCGTCAGCCATTTCTGGATCTGAAAGAATAACTGCTATTAGGAGCTCGAGAAACCATTCTTGTATCTTCAGATGGTTTCTGATGTTTTGCATATGAAGCAGATCTTCCTCTTCTTTGCCTCCTTCTTGGTTGTGTGGACTGAGGGATGAACACCCCTGTCCCTTTGCTTGCTCTTCTCACACCCTGCTCGTACACTATCACAGACAGGGGAGGAGGATGAATTATTGCTCCTGAGAAAACCTGAAGAAGAAGAAGAAGACACACAAGTTATGGCAGGTTCGGATTGGTCATACATCAATACAAGTTAAGGTTAAATTTCAGAAATGGAAAGATAAGAACCTGAAGGGGCTCAGGAGGACAACAAGCAAGTGGGTCTTCTTGTTCATCTTCATCCATAATCAGGAGAGAAATCTGCTTGCTCAAGTCTGCAAAAAAGAGATCATCTTCAAGCTCCACTGCAACATCCATCACCTGAAGTATTCTGTTCTGAGACCCAAAAGGATGTAACTTGAGAGATAACTACTAAAGTGTAAAAATAGAGAAGAGGATTTTATAAAGGGGCAAAAGGGTGAGTGAGAGGATGGGGTGAGTTATAAGGGTGTATGGGCATGTGGGTTGGTGGGACCATATGGTCACAGTTGGCCAATCTGGCTAAGACCCACAAGAATCATGGAGGTGTGTTGTGTGGGGATAATTATCCTTTTCAAGCATAAGGAGATGAGAACAGTAGACAACAGCCCATATCCAGATATCTAGTCCAGGATAGACTCAATCTCTTGCATACTTGGTTATGAACATCTCTCTCTCTCTCTCTCTCTCATCTCTCCAATAACAGTAAGTCAGTAAAACAACATGTTATATGGTTCATAATGTTTTTAGTCCTCATCTGCACATGCAAGTATCAACATAGTTCTGAAACTCAAGGTCTTTATCTGTAGTTTTATATTTTTCTGCTGATTACTCGCGGTTAAGATTGAACCACCATGCACACATAAAAGTCCATTTTGGTGACTGACAGTGGGATCTGCATGTTGCGCAACTTGCTGCGGTGGAGCCCCACGACAGTCTTTGCGACAATTCACCTTGGGTTGATTTTGACTGATGATGACAATTTTATAGTTTCATTTTATGACCTTAACAATTAGCAAGTAAATGTAGTTGTTTCGTCATAATTAACTATAATAAATGGCTGTGTGAAGAAGTTATTTGTGATAAAATTAATAAAGAAAATGTCTTATATATATCTGATAATCGTGATTAACTTATTTCAATTCATATGTTACAAATCTGTCTAAAAGATTTTGTACCAAAAACAGGTGAATGTCAACTCAGAATAGCGTGTGTGCCGGGCGTCAAAAAGTACCTTAGTACTTAAGCTTCAAAAAGATGGGATTCCTTTTGCCAAAAAATAAAAGAATATATTGGATTCCTAGTGTCCTTATCCTTTAGGACTGTTGGTATCTTCTCCTATTACGAATGTTTTCTTAAAGGATATGGCTCCTTTCAAATTTTTGGCTGTAAATTTTTGTGAAGTCATTTATAAGAAAGAAGAAAAAAAGTCGTCCTCCAACGGCAACACCTCGCCCTCCATCTTTCATATTGTTACTATCTGAAGAATCAATTAGAACACTGAATGTGTACCAAAAAGAATTAAAATACTGAATCTACCATTAAATGCAGTTGCTTGCTTGCTCTGTCAGTTACAATTTTGTGAAATGAGAACTAAACAGTGCCTCGAGCATTCATCAATGAAGAAGAACATAGGGATTAACGGCTTTAACGGAACGAGAACCCAATAAAAAAATTTATAATGACTGATAAATTATTTTTTCATAGTAATATAATAGAGAAAACTCCATTAATTTCTTTCACCTGAACTATGCTATGAGAGTACCAATATTTTCTCTAACGGTTGACGTATATATTAATTTTTATAATTTATATTATGCAAATAAAATTATTTTTCATACGACGGAATGATATAATTTTTTTACTATGATAGCTGACAGTTAAATGGTATATTTTTTCTGATAAAAAAAACATTATATACCCTGTTGCAAACTTGAAGAAATAAAAAAATCTCACTTAAATAATATCCCTAGTCTTTTTCAACAAAGCACTGGCGTTTCTGCGAACAAAGGCATTAATTCCAGCCGATCCTACAGAGGGGCCAACTTTTGAATCTTAACCTGGACGGCAGTTTAACAGTACGCATTAGCCTTTACATGCATAAATGAAATCTGCTTTTGCGGATGTGACAAAAAAATGTTTCGATTAATTACCCAAAATTCATGAGACACGATGCTGAAAACCTTTTGGTTGGTATTATACTTGATAGGTACACGAGCCAATCACTAATAGATTTGTAACTTCATCACATGCATGTTTCAAAAGACTCGCCTTTACCATGTTAGCAAGTTTCTTCATGATTGATTCTATATACAGATCTTTTGAAGACTTCTGTACAGAAAAGAAAACACCATGAATCCATGCAGAATAATTTAAAAGGCTTTCTCTTTGAAGGAATGAAATTAGTGACTGGTGGGAGTTTGCTTGAGCCAGAAGCTTCATATTTTAGGAACAGAGCATAAAGCAGCTCATTCCAAACAGATTCCTTTTACTTCAGCACAGACTTACTCATTCGCACAATTATGGAGGACAAAAGCAAGACGAGCTTATGATAAATAATACAATTAGCTAAAACTGAGGCTTAGATTATGATGAACTAGACACCTCGTCAGCCAGAATAAAGAAAAGGAATACATCAGAAGTAAGGTATTTTCCATCTATCATTTTATGGATAACCTACAAATCCAGATGCATCATTTGTGACAAAAACTTCTCGCAGACCCCGCATAAGCTACTAGGTGGTGGGCTAGTGGCCTATTGGTGAAGGGTATGGATAGTTAGCAAATAGTCATGAGGAAAATGCGGGCCTTCGTGTTCTGTTCGAGACCCAAGCTCATCAATTCAGCAAACACCTGAGTCGCTGAATACACACCTCTCTCAGGATAGCATTTAGCTCGTGGTTTGCTTCAATAATACTACAAAGTAGGCCTTATATTTAGAACTAAAGATACTATTATTTATTGCTTCAACATTACTACTGAAGGTACATTGCACGTACCACCCACACAAGCCTTGAGTCTTCCAGACCAACCTCTTCCTTCCACATCATAATCAAAATTTTCATTTTACTCCATCAAACGGAGGAGATTTATTGGGGACGAAATCGGTTTACTGTGTGTATTACCTTTACACTGAAATTCAATCTAAAGTAACCAAATCTAGAAAATGTCCCAACAGAACTTAAAGATTAACGAACAACATACACTACTTGTCATTTCAGCAATAAAAAGAAAGAAAGAAAATAAAAAATAAAATAGATGCACATTTAAATAAACAAGGACTTGAGAATTATCGATGTTAAGTAATTAGGAAGTTATCTTATTCTCAAAGAAAAACTAGTACCTGAAGTTATGACTCTTGCAGTATACATATTATGGGAAATAAATAAATAAATAAAGGTGAAGTATTGACGACGAATTCAATCAAAATTAGTTTCAATATGTACTATCAATAGATGATAAAGACAAGCGAGGAGGAGGATGAAGGGTCAAGAAAAACAACAAGGATGAACACATGCAACACCACCTATGTGGAGACAAATATAAATGAAATGGATACAGAAGAACATGTTTCTCACGATTCAACTCCTCTATTTTTTTTTCTTTTTTTGAGTGGACACAATTTAACTCCTCATTAAAACAGAGATGATGCATTCATTTGATGAGGAGAGGCAAGCGCTTTAGTGCCCCAGGAGAAAAACAGCTAGCGAGAACACTACCCAAAAATGTAACCAACAGGAAACTCTGTTCAATATGTTACATATGCCCTGCATAGAGAATCTATGATCGTGTCTTGGAGCAATAACTCACTGACCAAGCGTTGAAGACCTTCTCATGAGCCAGAATCAAAATGCTGATATCTGCTACGTCCAGGCATTATCCTTTAAAATTACAATCGATTCATTTTGACGATCTTGTGTCTGCTATTTTATCATAATGAATATAAACATGAAATCGTAAGATAACACAAATAGATAGTCTACCAACTTACTACCTGCTTTTCAGCTTAACAACATGGTATAATCCATAGACAACCACAGTCCCACCCAACCAAGAACCTATCTACAGTTAATTCCACTTAATACAAGGGTAGAGAAAGAAGAACAAGTTCCCCCCCCCCCCCGGGGTGTAACAAGCACATATTCTTTCCCTTCTGAAAACAAAGGAGGATAACAGGACCATGACATGACATCTTCATTTTATTGGCCAAAAAAATTGACATCTTTTGTTCGAGCTCCACATAATAAATAACAATCGAAATATCAATTCAACAAGCAACGCAGACAGAGCATGCTCTTAGTCTCAAGAGATTGAATAAGTTTCCGGCTGCAAATGCTGTTGAGGATTCCGCAGCAGAGCCAATAGAAAAGGGTCGCCTTCCTTTCGCTCAATTAACGTATCACTGTAGTTAGACTGGCAGAGAAACTTAAGTCAGGATACTAAGCTCTCCCTCGCTTTTCTTTCTCTCAATTCAAACAGACTTAGATCAAGTACAGTAAGTTACACGTCCACCCACAAACGCACTATCCGAATATATATATATATATATATATATATATGTAACGCACACCACACATACCCACTGTGAAAGAAGACGTACGAGTCTATGAATCAGAGTCAGAGAAAGCAGATTCTTGAGAAGGTGCGGGGGAATCAGATTGCTGGAGGGCATGCTGCTGAGCTTTCTCAAGAAAAGGCTTGAATCCGATCTGTATACTCAAGTAGCCAAAAGCCAAGGCTCCCAGCACCACAATTCCTGACCTTATCGCATTCATCTTCATATCAGACATTGGAGGAGCCATCGACCTTCCACCGTGCTCCCGTTTCTCAGTTCTTCTTGGCTGCAAGAGTAAGGACTGGGAGGCGGTAAAGATCCCTAATTTCACTCTAATTAAATGTTTGAAATTTATTATTTGACCCAAAAAAAATGTTTGAAATTGCTGTTGTTGAGAAAATCATTAAAAAAAAACTTTAAAAATTAAAAAACCTGCTTACAAAATTTTTGTCCTTATAATGTCAAGACCCATATTAATATTATAATAAATTCTTATTTATAATTTTTTTAATTTTAAAGTCTTTTTTATGATTTTTTTTATTTTTAGATTTATTGCTTCAATCATAAGAATAGAATATATAGCAAATTTTTTTAAAAAATAAAACTTATTTAAAACTCATTAGATTTATAAGAAAAATGTAAAAGAAAATTGATTTTTTTGGGAAAATAACACAAAGAAAAAGTTAAAAATTACAATATTTTAATTTAAGCATCTAAAAAATTTTCTTCTAATATTTTCAGATATAGTTAAATGACTAGAATATCTTTGTATCAAATTTAAAAGACAAAAATTATCAAATTTATTATTATTAGTATATTTCTTATTACTAGCTATTTAATATTTATTATTATCAGTTTATAACTTATTAATATATAACTTGTCATTCTTAATATATTTTGCCAGTTGTTTTTCGACACTTGTTATTATTAATTTATAAGTTGTTAATAAATCTAGAGTATTTTTATCATTTAACTGATCATGTTATACATTACCTTTTTTCTTGGATTTTGAAGGGGATTTTTATCAAAATGCTACACACAGTAAAATAAATTACCATGATACTACACTATGAAAAGTATTTCCTTACATGCTATACTCAAACTCGTTCACCACAAG